TATATATATATATATATAATGTTAGCAACAACATTAATGTCAATCGCAATTTGCAATTGCGGACATCAAGAAACCCGTCGATCGTGGTATTTATTATTAAGCGAGGCGAAGTCGAGGCAAAACGAGTCGCAATCTATATCTCCTCTAAAGTGCGCTAGGTTTATAGTACGACAAGCGACAAAAAATGAGGTACAACGTCAGAAAATTAAATAATTTATTATGCACAACATCGTATTCGGATCAAGTATGATACAATGAGTCATTTTCCCTTTCCGAATCCGTGTAATGCGGCTGATGCACATTCCATGCGCGCGCGCGCGCGAGCGAGCATGTGGGCGTGTGCGTGCGCGCACGAATGCGAAGGAAAACCAGGAGAATCTCGATCACCTAGAGAGAATCCAATGAGAACAGGACGACTATAACGTCGAAAGGAGCATCGTCGCACCGCGCACGGCGCATGGACACTTCTTAAAATTAATTATAAAATCACACACGATGAAAAGAACCGATAAAGATACGCCATTCATTTCGCGCGAGGTATGTCCTCTCCTTGATCTTCATTCTTCTGTCTTCATCCCCAAACCCAAACGTCTTCAACAAACGGTTCCATCCACTGATATTCTGGGAAACAATCCTGCCATTTCTTCTTCCTTCTTCCCTTTGATTTCTACCGATTTTCTTCGGGCTTGTTCGGGAAATGACACTTTATTACGGATCAGGAAGCTCTGTTCTGAGAAGAGCGTCTCTCGAGCACGAACAGCATGAACGTCATCACAATGTCCTCTCAAACGCGACTCATGTCTCCGAATTCGTGAAACAAAATCCTTATCCGCGTTCTCTTTGAAGTACACCCTTCTTCAAAAGGAGAGAGCTAGCTTGCATTGCGGCTCGGTTGGGTTGTTTTGCGTGTAGTTAATACTTATTAAAAGAACATTTGGAAAATTGATCAAAGCAATGAAGCGTGTCACGCTATAAATGATTGAAAAGGAGAGAGCAGTCGTCTTGTCGACGAATCATCCCCGAGTCGATAACGAACGAGGAAAGATGGATTTTTTTCCTATTGCGAAGACCACAGATTGTACCGTTTGCGTTGTAAGTATGATCCTTGACGTTATACCGAACTTTTTTTCTCATCTAATCTTTTTAGTGAGGTAGCGCCAAATGTGAACGGAAACGATCATCCGTCCCAATTTTTGTACAATTTCCAGGAGTCCCCAATGAGAGTCCGCATCTATGTCCTCTTGAGATTATGTACAATTGCACGCGGGGGAACTGAACGAGGGAGCACGTATGTACAAATTCACAGTCGAAGTCCCAAGCTTTCGATTTTTGCGCCCGACGGTGATGAAATTGCGCCACCGCCGTGGGACGATGATTTGAAGATCGTTTGCGAGAGATAGAGCCAGCACACACGGGCTTCCGAAGGTGAAAGAAATTTACGGAAACGATGTGTACCCCAGCGAAATGGAATCTATCTAAATACTTGTATATATGCATATGAGTCACACAAGCGCACACATGCCGGAAACATATGCATATACACGTAATACTACACACGTGAGATTTATGCATGGTACGCGTGTGTATGTATGTGTATGTATGCATGAATGTGTGTATGTGTGTGGCCCATCTTTTTCACGTGTTAAAATATCTTCCGCCCAAAGGGTAAAGGTAGGACAGTAGAGTGGCGTTGCCTTCTACCAACCACCTAGACTACTACTGCTTGCCTTGCAGTCGATTTGTTGTCGAGCGAGATCAGCATAAACCAAGCCGAACTCACTGACAAATTCATAAAACTTGTCCAAAGAATCAAAGGCCAATTCTGCTACGACGAAATGAACCGCCAAATTTTGCCGGTAGCTAAACAGCAGAAGAAATGCAAATGTTAGATAATTGCCGCATATATGGTGACATGATAGTGAAACATAAAACAGAAAAAAAACAATTAAATATGCAATTAACTTTCAGCTACGATGTCCTGTAACAGAAATCTGCAATTATAGTTCATGTGGTCCATGTTTCTTCATAGATATCATTTGTTAAAACATAGCGTTGATACAAATAAGCTGTTCTCCAAATCTTCTGTTTAGAAAACTTCTGTCTTTAGAAAATCAGTTAAGAGATTGTATACTTTCTATTGTACTATTTTAATGAAATGATATAATTACATTACGATTCTACTTATCATTATTAAACAAAATTGAATTTAAAAAATTTGAGAGCAAAATTAAAGTCATTAATTGAAATACAAATTATTTTTATCAATATATAAAGTATACAATCCTATTTAATGAAAAATACAAAAATAATTACGCATTTAGATAATAATAACAGTATATAGAAATAAGGTTTAAAATACGTACGACTTTATCATGAATTTCAATGCCTTCTTTCGCTCTCTAGCGACAAACCAATCCATCAAAAAGGCAGACATACACGGAGCCATCCTATACAGTTTGAAAAAAGCATGGAAGTTACCCAACCACCAAGCCGATCGTATTTTCAATGCGTGTTTTATGCATTCGTTATTTTTATCCTCTGGCGAAAGTGCTGCTAAAATTGTCGTTAAGTCTGAAATCGAAAACATTACAGAATATTTTTATGATCTCAGGAAATATTTGCGAATCTTCTGTTAACTTCGTTACCAACCTTGAGTATTTTTTGTGAAAATGTAATAGAGAATCCTATACGCAATGAATTCGCATCGATTCTCGCCACTGAGATCCTGATAAAGCATTTTCAGCTGTGTCTGACACTGATTAAATTCCTCGTGATCACCGCGTTCTAAAGCTACACGGGCGTGAGTTTCATATACATGAACTGTAAACGCGTCCCTGATACCTTGCACGGTAAGATCTTGTCGGATAGATTTTAATTGGTCGCAAGCATATCTGTAGTCCTGGTCGGCCAGCCAACGTTTCTTAACATGGGCCAAAGAATTTTGAAGTACACTTACCGGTCGAACTGCAGAAGGGGCAGGAGCCTGCAATATTACATAATTTCGTTAAAAAAATACGTGATTGATTATATCACGACTATGGCATAATTGATTTTATCTAGGCTGTGTTCCACTTAACGCTTGCAACGTTCTTGGAATCATTTTATATTTGTCGTTTATTATTAAACAAGAACAAATATTACGCGCGAGTGTTGTAAGCACAAAATGGAACATTCCCCTAATTCATAATAAAACATTTCATGTTTTATTAACTGTAGGTGAGAATAAATAATTTTGAATATTCATGTACCGTTGTGAGACGCAAGTAAGGCTTCTCTAGATCCTTGCACGTGCCGACGATGTGGAGTCCGGTAAAATCGAAGTCCGTGTTCGAGTCATCTCTAATAACGACGCTGCTAACAACCGTCCTGGAAACGCCGCCGTTGAATCTGGCAGCGCGCTGCTGCAGCTTCTCCTTGGTTCCCAGCTCGTCCGTGTTGCCTGTAGCTAAACCAAATTCGGAATAGAAATGCGATTTAGCCTTATTCTTCTTGGACTTCTTGTTGTGATTCGCCTTGTTGCGCGCGGATTTTTTCGTTTTAGGAGTCTTGTATTCGTGCTCCCGATCGCTAATGTTCGACGACGAAGATGTGCTGCGCCTGTTGTACCTGCGCGGCGGACTACGTGTGCGCGAACGCGTTGATCTCGACCTCGAACGTGACCGCGATCGCGATCGCGAACGGGATCGCGACCTTGATTTAGATCTTGATCTTGACCTCGATCTCGACCTCGTCCTCGACCGCCTGCTGTGTGTCACAGAGAGACGCGCGCCAAGCCGAGCCCCGAGTGAGCTAGAAAGGCCAGGCTTGCGCAGGCCTCCCTGTGCATTGACCAGTGGGCTCGCCAGAGGATTCGCCAGCTTTAACGCCGGCTTCGAAGGTTTAATCGTCATGGTCATACGTTCGCTGTGGATGCTGGGCAGAGGTTCCTTATCCCAGTCCTTCACCCAGAGCGAGCCGTCATTCGCGGCGCGTGTGATCTTTCCCTTCAGTATGATTTCGACCTGATCCTTATCAACTGCCGTCTTACATTTCTCATAGCATCGGTTTACATAATTCTTCAGACTGTCGGGCCAATCCCCGACTGGACTTTGAGCGACGGAGGGAGTAGTGCCAGTACCGAGGACCGCGTTGCTGGAAACCGTGGTGACCGGCACGACAGAACTAGGAGGCTCCTCACTTGGTGGCGGAGGGGCTACCACTTCGCATTGCGTGGGAGGTAACGGTGGTAGTTCCGCAGGTTTTGCATTTGGTCCATTAGGCATGAAGGGACCAATCGGAGCATTTCCCTGAAAGCTATTGTTGAATTGAGCTGCTAAATTTTTGTTCCGCTTACGTTTTCTCTTCGCGGCGCCACTATTGCCGGATGGCACATATCCAAGACCCGTTTTCTTGTTTGGTAAGTTGAAACGGATAGTCTGACCATTATATTCTGTAAAGAATTAGTACTTTTTAGAGTTATATATTCAAATTATACGTTATAGAGATGGGTGAAGTACCTGATAATAATAGTAAATATTGACGAGTTACATTACATGACGATAGAAGCAAACTTTCAAAACAAAAGCTGACAATGGAACAATATTCTAGAACTCATAAAATACAGTGTAAATAAACGAAACATGAGACCTGACCTTCGTGCGAGAGAGAGAGAGAGAGAGAGAGAGAGAGAGAGAGAGAGAGAGAGAGAGAAACACAAGTCTCTATTGTCTCAACAGATAAAGAGCGAAGAGAAACTTGAGCTATATTCTCTCTTTGTCTCGCACGCCGAGCCAATCATTGTCTGATAGTATGCTGGATCTATATATTTTGTCTATATATTTTGTCTATTCTATAATTCATTATTTTATATGTTGATTATTATGTATCGAGATTTTCAAAATATTTTCTTTTTCGGAAACCCATACAACCCCGATTATTTTTATTATTAAAATTGATATGTTATTTATACATATATAAAACTGAAATAACACACTTTTTTATCACTTAAAATCACTTAAAAATGTAATCAATTTTTCTTTTGCTGCAATTTCTTCACCCGTCTCTATTTATTTAAAACATTTAAAACATTTAAAAAAATATAATAAAACTTACGAGAAGTATTATTATGCATTCCATTCCAGTTACCATAAGGGAATGAATTGTACATCAATCCTGAATAAGAAGTCATCTGTTGTTGTTGCATGTGATTGTTATGTTGTTGAGTTGATGGAGTTGTTGGTGGTGGACCGGGTGGCAATGGTGGAAGATCAGATTCATCATCTAGAGGCATTGGAGTACCGGGTATAGGAGGTTGTTGATGTAACTGTTGTTTTGTCTGATTGTTTCCCTGTTGCTGCTGTTGCTGCTGCTGTGGTTGTTGCTGCTGTTGCTGCTGCTGCGGTTGCTGCTGCTGTTGTTGATGCTGCTGCATCTGTTGAGGATTAAAAGTCTGGCCATATCCTGGCATCATGTGATAATAGTTAAACATCTGTCCTTGATGCGGCACACCTTGATATCCTGGACCATACATTTGTCTGCAAAAAAAATTGTGAAAGTTATCATTTGTAAAACGTTTACAAATGATAACTCCATTTTATGACAATTCCTACAATAGTATTTATGACAATTCCTACAATAGTATTATATACAAAAAAAAATTGATATCTTGGTATAAATTTTTATCTAATTTAGATTATTTGATATCAAATTTCCAATTATCGTGAGTTATTTAAATAACAATAAAAATGATTAGTATAGAAATATATATCATAATAAGTAATAAATTAACAATATATTATATTTATACATTTAGGTGAGGATTTAAGAACAAAAAACCAATTATTACAATTAAAGGATGCATTCACAGTACGACTACTCATTGAACGCTCAGTAGTTGTAGTACTGAATGCGCCCAAAAAAGTTTATAATGGGTGCATCCATCAATAGCGCAACCGATTATTAAGAGTTTAAGTAGAAGTCGAATGTGATTGGGTGCATTCAAACTATAATCAATCACCTTCGATCTTTATTTAACTGCTCAATGTACACATTAGATACATCCGAAGTATGACCATTCACTGAGCTTTTATATCTGTTTGGTTTAAATTTTTAAATCTAATGAAATATGCTAATCAGATGCAAGAGTTCACTAAGCGCTCAATGAGCCCAATGGTTGCATTAGCGGACTCAACAGTTGAGTCTATTGAACACAGCCATTGATTCTTATCTTTAGATCCAATCACATTTGACTGATACTTAGGCTCTTAGTGAATGGTTGCACTCCTAGATATACTCAATAGTTGCAAAATTGCTTTTATTGAATAGTCAATAATATAACAATATTAGTGATATTAAAATCAAAACTAACTCTCAACTGACTACGTTTGCATGAAGAAAGTTGTCACAAACATCATTCCCACATGTATAAGACAATTCATCTCAAATTACGCGTCTTCTCAAAGTTTACCTTGTTAATATCATATTCATATTATTATATTCTTAAAAAGATAGCTCCTTTAACAAATCTAACTTTATTAAAAGTCTTATCTACAAGAAAGAATCATAGACAGGTTATATTTTGTTTTAAAGAAAGTTCGAAATTAAAAGTTGATTGTATATCTTGAGACAAGATAAAAATTACAAAAGTAAATGAATTTACTAAAATATTTATAATTTTATTAATCAATAGTGAAGCACAATTTTATAATTTTCATTTCGTTTCAAAATATATAATTAAAACAATTAATCTGATGGGAGTCAATTATGTGTCTTGAAATGAAAATTACAAAAGTAATTAAATTCACTAGAATATTTATAATTTGATTGGTCAGTATCTATATAAATTTGCTCATTTTTGTAATTTTCACTTTGTTTCAAGATACAATTGCCCTCTATTCCAAGTTGGAGTAAGAAAGAGAGAGTATGAATAAGAAAGAAAAAGAAAGAAAATATAAAAGTGAGAGAACTACTTGTTTCATTCAAACTCTGCATCAAACATTGTGTACTAAACCAGAATTTATCTTCGAAAAAAAAAAAAACAAAG